TAAGGTGGATTAAGTTGAAGTAATATACACAATCTTTACCAGGGAGGGAAACAAACCAACCGACGAAAGAGGAGAACAGTGTAAGAATAGCCTGCGATTATTTTCAATTTCAAGATCTTTAGGTTCAATCGAGTAAAATGCCAAATTTTATAACATGACTACAAAACAACTAAGCTTTATTGTGATGCGTACTTAATTAGTAGAATTTTATCTTTATTCGAATACTTTAACTGTAATTAATGACTTCATTATATTCTGTTTTGATAGAAAGGAAATATCCTTAAAAATAGCAGACGTACTATTAGACATATCAATTTCGTTATGATAATAGACAGTTAAATCTTTACCCCTTTGATATTCCTGTATAGATCCCACAACACGACAACGCAAACGTACACGTAAATTTAGTTGTTTGTGAGAAAACCTTCGAATTCCTGGTCTTGTCCCAATTGGTCTGTTCTAGTGTTTGATTGGCACTCAGTAATTGTTCTTTACTTACCATGACTGCAGCCGCTGGCAACGGAGTCTTTTTGTGTATTTGAACCATAGACATTACCTGAGGAAGATGTCCTTCTCTTGCTGCAACAAACACAGATCTGTTGGGAAAAGGATTTACTTCATCTTATGAGAAAATATTGAACTGAACACTAGCTCTTTTTTCAAGCTCTAAGAAACTCCATTACCTTGACGCTGCGAATATTCCTCCGTTTATGGATCCGATACACGATAGAGCAACGGCAACAGAAATTATCCAACTGAAATTTCCAAATATTTGGTCTGCAAAACTCTGAAAAAAAAAATTAGAATTAGCTACATAAAATGAATCAACTTCTTTACAAAAAAAACAACTCTTTATTACAGAGTGAAAGTTGTTTTTATTTTGTGATTTAAGCAACTTATTGTATAATATATTACTTGGTTCTAATTGGTTAATACCATCCATGTTTATACTACATGTATATGTTAAACCTTTTAAATTTACCTGAGCTTTAACATTGATAAAGATAGCAAGAGCTATTTAATTCTAAATGATCTTGCGGTAATGCTTTGTACATATGAATGTAAAATTTATAAATATTATATATAT